TATTGGTAGGGTTCATTTCGTAATTCATTACTTATTCTACCACTAGAGGTCACGCAAAGTATCTTTCTGTACTTCAATAATATTGATCGATTTCCTTTGCCTTTATCTATCGCTCGCGCCAATGTAAAAGAACTAGAGAGCTTCTGTTGTTCACTTGTAAAGTATGGCGCAATTGGCCGTCGTGATATTTCTGTGAATGTGATTGGGCAAGTCTCTTATTAATATCGAATATTAGTATTTGTTCTTCTCTTTTCTTCTTGATCCTACTTTTTTTTCCACGATCATTGCGAATTTTCTTTTGCCTTTATCGTCATTTGAATTATTATTTTTTTAATGTTAATTACGATTTTTTTAGTATTCGAGTTACCCGATTTGTGTCAAACGTTAATTTTGGTTTCGCAAATTTTGTAAATACCGCTCTCTTTTTGTTTTTGTATCTGTATCTGATTGCAGATTTTACTGCAATAGCACCCTTTTGAGCTCAGTAAGGTGTTCTAACATAAAATATTACTTTAGTCGATTCTCCGTGAGGTGACATTTGTGTATGTGTTACGAGCCCTTGTGTGCAAAACGTATACAGGGTGTCGTCAAAGAATTGTGTGGTAGAAATAAAAAAAATGACATTAATTTTTATTATTTACAGAATGTAGCGCTAATGGTATGTTAAGCCATGTTACATTGTGTTACAGATGTTACATTACGGTACGTTAATGTGATTTTATATTAGTTTACAGCTTTTCATGCAAATATGATGAATAAGCGTGGAAATGTTAGTTTGATTTAACAGATAAGCGCGAAGTGTTCACATGTGTAACAGTTTATTCATCAACATCAATAAAGGTGTCTTACTAACGCTATACTTACATTTACTGAAGGCCGTTTTTAATGACCGTATTGACAATATGTGGGAATTTGGGCAATGACATAAATTTGTTGTTTAATAATCTAATTTTCACACGAAGGGCTTACGCAAATTTCGTTTCCGAAATTGGTAAATAAATAGCGTGTTACCTACGTGTTTAGACCATATTTATGAACATGTGCGTCTTAATTGTTTTACTTGGTACTGCGTTGTTCGCCACCATTGAACCAGCTCAATTACGTAAGTGCGTTAATTACCTTTCGAAGAATTAAATTGCCATTCTAGCAAGCTACATTCCAAGGTGTTACCAGAACGACCGGAACATAAACGAGTGCTTCATAAGTGCCGCCAACAGTCTAAACGAGAACGTCAGAAGTGGGATACCGGAACTCGGTTTGCGTCCGTTAGACCCGTTCGTTGCTCCCGACCTCAACATAACACTCGAATCCCCCATCACTGATCTGTTTGTCGCTACGCAACGATTTACCTTTCACCGGTTTTACAATTACCGATTTACTTCTGCGGAGTAAGTAGCGAAACGGCAGGCGCGTACAAGTACCTACTCCAAACGTTCTTCCAGCATTCGACCGAAAGATGGCGCGGTAAGTGGCAGTGTAACCTTCCCCGATTTAGGTGCATCGGTAGACTACATACTCCAGGGACATCTCATTAATCTTCCAATAGGCGGAGCTGGCGTTGCAAAATTTAAGTTTGCAGCCATCAATTGCGATTTTCTAATCGACAATTGGCTCGAGAAAGCGACTTGTGGCGAAATCAAGTTGGAATTAACGTGCAAAATCGAAGACGTAGAGATGAACTTTACCGGATTAAGTAACGAAGGTAGAGCCGTTTTTCTTCCTATCAATTTGTTAAAGAAAATTTACAGAGATGATGAATAGACTTTTGAATCTGAGCTCCAAGCTGGTCGCATCGGAAGTTTCCCCTGCGTACTCAAACATTTTTAAGGCACTTTTGGGGCCGTTCCTGAAACGCTTGTGCAAAAAATATCCGCTGGGCGAATTATTTCCGCCGTCTTCCTAGTGTGACTATTAATAAAATGTCTGCAATTGTAGTAAATGTTAGGTACGTGATATTTCTTACGGTATTTTAATAAATAAAATGAAAAGTTGCGGGAGTGTAACAGGTGGTCACTTTGCCGTTTCAAAAATTTGGTTTTGAATTTGTATTTTGTTAAACAGGCAAATTTACACATATACCGCTTCGTAGGGAACGTGAACGAAAGTATGTATGGCGATAAGAAGTGATAACAAGCAACATGTGGGGGTAAACGAGTGTGATGCGTATCAGCTACCATATGTACCACCACACTAGGATTGCCATTGGTGGCGGCTAATGCCTCAAACTTGAGTGACGTCATTGAACAACGCCTTGTGCGATAAGTAAAATTTTATATACAACGACTAAGAATTTAAAGATATAATCGCTTTATTAACCCGCACCAAAACTTAATTAATTAATGGGCAATATCAACATGGCGGAAAATCGGTCACTATTCCTGTGCATAATCACACCTTTGCTTTTATTAATATATTCAATCAATCACATGCGGGCGTATTTATTCGCGTTTAAACAAACCAGACCATCAGATTTTGAAACATTCTAATTACTGAGCTAGCCGTGGGTCAAATAATTGTCACAGTCAAACTTTTGCCAGTGCCATAGAAGTTCAATTTTATTTTATGCAAGTCTTGTACACTTTTGCCAGTTTGATGAATTTTCGTACAATTCAAAGTTTCAAAGTTATCGAAACACCTGAGGTTTCTGAAGCTCACATTTGGTTTCCCTATTAAAAAAAATGGAGGCGGCAGAAGCTTCTCGAAACTTTCTTAAGCTCCTGAAGTTGATAAAGTTCCTTGAAAGTTTTTGGAATCTGAGTAGTCTGAAATAACTGAAGAACTTGGAGCAAATTAACTGATCCGATGTGAACAATCTTACAGTAGGATGAAGAGGGAAATAGGGTAGGCGACGAAGAGAAAAATGGAGAAACAACATTGGTGTAGCAGGAGCGAATCTGAACCAAGGAACGTGACCAAGGCTTTGAAGGGGCGCGAAGAAGTGCCGAAGAGGGTTCGAAGGGTATGAAGAAAGCTGAAAAGAAGAGCCGAAGGAGGTGTTCAACAACCCTCAAGAAGGTTCGAAGATAACTGGCAAAAGCTCAAAGTAAGAGATAGGAAGGTTTGAAGATAGCACGCAAAGGATTCGAACAATCTATGAAAAAGGCTTAAAAGGGTAGTCAAGGAAAGGCGCGTGAACAAAGCTCTAAAGAGAAGAGCAGAAAAGGCCGAAACGGAAGTTCAGGCATGTAAACTCAAAACTGGTCTGAAGAAATAGGTGTCAAGAGGGCTCGAAGGAGGAGCGAGGAACGTGGGGAGGAGGTAAAAGGAGTCCAAAGCAGCGTGAGGACCAATTGAAAGAAACATGATGCTCTTTCAAAAGAGGAAAATAGACCCAAAAGACGCGTAGACCAAGCATGGATCGAACAGCGAGAAGGCTTTGAAGGATGCTTTTGAAGAAACCGTGAAGATGGCTCTAAGGAGAAGTGGAAGGTGTGCGAAGGAGGACTGAAAAGGTTGTAAAGCAGTTCTGAAGAAGACTCGAAAGCGTGAAAAAGACTTAGGAAACATAAAGAAGGCTCAAAAGGATTCGAAGAAAAGGCTCGATGAAGGAGTGAAGGGTGTGCGATGTAGGTGTGAAGAAAGACAGAAGAAAACGTGATGAAGACTGTTTTCTAGAAGTTAACAATGTGATGATCTTTGAAATTGAAACAATGTAAAATTCAAAGGTTGCTTGCCGTTCAAAGCCCCATTTTGTGGTGTTATATTTCATTTTCGGGGTAAATGACTCTTTTTCATGGTGAAGTTTAGTGAAAACGGTTTGTCGAAGGGACAGGGGCGAAGGGTGAGTATGTGATGTGAATTTAGTAGTGAGCTAAGTGAGTGGATAAGTCTTCTTGACAGTGAGGAAGCAATTGCAATTGAAGAACCAAGGAATTGTGTGTACAATTCTGACTTTGAACTTGACCATGACCCACTTCCCCAGATCACCGCAAGGTGGCGAGTGGACTGGTACAGGTAAAGTATGCGAGAAAAAAGAAGGGAGACAAAAAAAGACTCGAAGGGAGTGTGAAGAAAAGAATGTTTGAAAGTAGCACGAATAAGAATTGAAGGCGGCATAAAAACGGTTCAAGGACTGAAAAGTAAAGGGAAAAATCGAAAAGGGTTGAAACGGAAGTAAACTCAAAACTGGCCTGAAGAAGACTTGAATAAGGCGCGAGTGGCACGAAGGTGAAGGGGGTTTGAAGAAGTGTGCATGAAAAAGAAAAAGTTTCAAAGTTCGCTCGCCCAAAGGTTGATCGCCGTTCAAAGCTCAGAGGTTGGTCGACGTTCAAAGTCCAAAGTTTGCTCGCCGCTCAATGTTCAAAAGTTGTTCAAAGTCCAAAGTTTGCTCGCCGCCCGAAGTTCAAAGGTTGGTCGACGTTCAAAGTCCAAAGTTTGCTTGCCGCCCGAAATTCAAAGGTTGGTCCCCGTTCCTAGTGCAAAGGTTGGTTGCCGTTCAAAACTTCATTTTGTGGTGTTTCGAGATCAATGACTTCTTTTTTGTGGTATTATATTTCACTTTCAAGGTCAACAAACGTCAATTATTTTTTGTGATGCCATTTTTATTTTTTAGATTGTAAATTTAACCTTCCCTCGAATCCCCAAATACTTCACCGTAACTTACCGGGGTTGACTTAACTTCGCTTACGGTTTAAAGCGTATGTCTTGACGGTTATCAACTCATATAACGATGAATACAAAAGAAAAATGTTCCTGTAACCGATAACAATCACGCCGTATCCACGACTTACCGGCGCCTTAAGTTTTTAAACGCATTGAAAAGATCAGGAAACGAATCGCGTTTAAAATACGCGGAATTTGTGATAATTCAAGGGTTCCGTATCGGTTTTTCCGCTGGGCAACCGATTAGATAGGAATAGAAGTTCGTTGTTGAACCCCTGCGGGTGGAGACGTCCGTTACGTTGGGGATGTATTGGATTTTCTACTCTGCAAAAGAGGTGGGGGAGACACGTATCGCTCGCCCTGCTAAAAAAAATTCCTTTTTTAGTAAGACAAAAGTGTGTTTTCAATATATTTATTGCATTAGGAAGACGGAGGAAACAAATCCTTGAATTGATATTTTCTGCACAACCTTCGAAGGAACACCTTCAAAAGTACCTCGAAAACGCTTGAATATCCGGGCGAAATTTCCGATGCGACCAACTTAGAACTCAGATTTAAAAGACTGTTCATCGCTTCTAAAAATTATCTTCCAGAAAAAGCAAGAGGATAGTAGCAAGTTACCTCCGTTTTCCAATCCTGTAATGTTCACTTTGAGATCTTCGACTTTGCAGTCCACTTTCAATTTGATTTCGTTACAATTTCTAGCCTTGGGCCAATCGCTGATAATGAAATCACAAACGGCGTTCTCGTTTTCCACGTCGACGTAGCCGCGTCCATTGAATTGAAGATTTATTACGTGTCCCTGAACGGCGTAATCTGACGTTATAGCTAAATCGGGAAAGATAACATTGCCAGCAATCGCGCCATCTTGCGGTCGGACACTGGAAGCATATTTATCTTACGTGTAACGTCCTCTGCTTACCGTCTTACTCTGCCGATTTAAAGCGGTAGTTGTACAGTCGGTGTAAAGCAAAACCTTTTAGGGAGGCATAGAAATCGGTGATTGGCGATTCGACTGTTACGTTGAATTCGGGGGACACGAACGGGTCCAATAGACGTAAACCGATTTCCGGTATCCCACTTCTGACGTATTGGTTTAGGCTGTTTGCTGCGTTTATAAAACACTCGTTTATGTTCTGATCATCCTGGTAACATCTTGGAAAGTAGCTCGCTGGAATAATCCAATGGCATCAGAAAATTAATGCAGTGATGTACCTACGCAGTTCAGCGGATTTGGCATAACCAAAAAAGGTAGTGCTCAGTAAAATAGCAATGATGTTCATTTTCAACACTTGCAAAATCGTGTCATTCCATTTATATACCAATTTCGCACAAACAAAATTTGCATAACACGACATATGAAAATGCAATTATTTTCAATGAATAGGCACTTACAGCAATGAAATATTGTGATTTTTTATCAACATTGCGTTGTTTCCCACATTGTAAGATAATAGAAACAACGACCTTACCTTGTAGGGAGATGTTTTTCGTAGGAGTTGACAATAAAACAACTCTTCTCACATTTCTGTGATCCTGATACAATAATTTATGAAAAAATGGTTTGTGATAGGACACTATAAAACATTCTCATGCGTCACACAATAACCTATAGAAGAGGAATTTGGTATTAGAGCAGTACACAATGTGAGAAGGTGCTTGTAAGCAGGTTCTACACCTTCTCGCGTTTCTGTGATCCTGATATAATAATTTCCAAGAAAAGTGGCGTGCGTTAGGAGACTATAGAACACTCTCATGGGTCACTCAATAATCTACAGAAGATGCATGAACAGCATACAACGCGAGAAGGTGTCTGTAGGCACCTTCTCGCATTTCTGTGATCCTGATACAATAATTTCTGAAAAAATGGTTTGTGATAGGAGACTATAAAACATTCTCGAACGTCACACAATAACTTATAGAAGATGAATTTGGTATTAGAACAGTACACAATGTGAGAAGGTGCTTGTAAGCTGGTTCTACACCTTCTCGTGTTTCTGTGTTCCTGATATAATAATTTCCAAGGAAAGTGGCGTGTGTTAGGAGACTTAGGACGCTCTCATGGGTCACTCAATAATCTACAGAAGATGAATGAACAGCATACAAAGCGAGAAGGTGTCTGTAGGCACCTTCTCGCATTTCTGTGATCCTGATACAATAATTTCTGAAAAAATGGTTTGTGATAGGAGACTATAAAACATTCTCGTGCGTCACACAATAACCTATAGAAGAGGAATTTGGTATTAGAGCAGTACACAATGTGAGAAGGTGCTTGTAAGCAGGTTCTACACCTTCTCGCGTTTCTGTGATCCTGATATAATAATTTCCAAGAAAAGTGGCGTGCGTTAGGAGACTATAGAACACTCTCATGGGTCACTCAATAATCTACAGAAGATGCATGAACAGCATACAACGCGAGAAGGTGTCTGTAGGCACCTTCTCGCATTTCTGTGATCCTGATACAATAATTTCTGAAAAAATGGTTTGTGATAGGAAACTATAAAACATTCTCGTACGTCACACAATAACTTATAGAAGATGAATTTGGTATTAGAACAGTACACAATGTGAGAAGGTGCTTGTAAGCTGGTTCTACACCTTCTCGTGTTTCTGTGTTCCTGATATAATAATTTCCAAGGAAAGTGGCGTGTGTTAGGAGACTTAGGACGCTCTCATGGGTCACTCAATAATCTACAGAAGATGAATGAACAGCATACAAAGCGAGAAGGTGTCTGTAGGCACCTTCTCGCATTTCTGTGATCCTGATACAATAATTTCTGAAAAAATGGTTTGTGATAGGAGACTATAAAACATTCTCATGCGTCACACAATAACCTATAGAAGAGGAATTTGGTATTAGAGCAGTACACAATGTGAGAAGGTGCTTGTAAGCAGGTTCTACACCTTCTCGCGTTTCTGTGATCCTGATATAATAATTTCCAAGAAAAGTGGCGTGCGTTAGGAGACTATAGAACACTCTCATGGGTCACTCAATAATCTACAGAAGATGCATGAACAGCATACAACGCGAGAAGGTGTCTGTAGGCACCTTCTCGCATTTCTGTGATCCTGATACAATAATTTCTGAAAAAATGGTTTGTGATAGGAAACTATAAAACATTCTCGTACGTCACACAATAACTTATAGAAGATGAATTTGGTATTAGAACAGTACACAATGTGTGAAGGTGCTTGTAAGCTGGTTCTACACCTTCTCGTGTTTCTGTGTTCCTGATATAATAATTTCCAAGGAAAGTGGCGTGTGTTAGGAGACTTAGGACGCTCTCATGGGTCACTCAATAATCTACAGAAGATGAATGAACAGCATACAAAGCGAGAAGGTGTCTGTAGGCACCTTCTCGCAGTTCTGTGATCCTGATACAATAATTTCTGAAAAAATGGTTTGTGATAGGAAACTATAAAACATTCTCGTGCGTCACACAATAACTTATAGAAGAGGAATTTGGTATTAGAGCAGTACACAATGTGAGAAGGTGCTTGTAAGCAGATTCCAAACCTTCTCGCGTTTCTGTGATCCTGATACAATAATTTCTGCAAAAATGGTTTGTAATAGGAGACTATAAAACATTCGCATGCGTCACACAATAACCTATAGAAGAGGAATTTGGTATTAGAGCAGTACACAATGTGAGAAGGTGCTTGTAAGCAGGTTCTACACCTTCTCGCGTTTCTGTGATCCTGATATAATAATTTCCAAGAAAAGTGGCGTGCGTTAGGAGACTATAGAACACTCTCATGGGTCACTCAATAATCTACAGAAGATGAATGAACAGCATACAACGCGAGAAGGTGTCTGTAGGCACCTTCTCGCATTTCTGTGATCCTGATACAATAATTTCTGGAAAGAATGGTTTGTGATAGTAGACTATAAAGCATTCTCCTGCGTCACACAATAACCATAGTAGAGGAATTGGATTTTAGAACAGTACCAAATGTGAGAAGGTGCTAGTAAGCAGGTTCTACATCTTTTCGAGTTTCTGTGATCCTGATATAATAATTTCCAAGAAAAGTGGCGTGTGTTAGGAGACTATAGAACACTATTATCGGTCACTCAATAATCTACAGAAGATGGATGAACAGCATACAACGCGAGAAGGTGTCTGTAGGCACCTTCTCGCATTTCTGTGATCCTGATACAATAATTTCTGGAAAGAATGGTTTGTGATAGTAGACTATAAAGCATTCTCCTGCGTCACACAATAACCATAGTAGAGGAATTGGATTTTAGAACAGTACCAAATGTGAGAAGGTGCTAGTAAGCAGGTTCTACATCTTTTCGAGTTTCTGTGATCCTGATATAATAATTTCCAAGAAAAGTGGCGTGTGTTAGGAGACTATAGAACACTATTATCGGTCACTCAATAATCTACAGAAGATGGATGAACAGCATACAACGCGAGAAGGTGTCTGTAGGCACCTTCTCGCATTTCTGTGATCCTGATACAATAATTTCTGAAAAAATGGTTTGTGATAGGAGACTATAAAACATTCTCGTGCGTCACACAATAACCTATAGAAGAGGAATTTGGTATTAGAGCAGTACACAATGTGAGAAGGTGCTTGTAAGCAGGTTCTACACCTTCTCGCGTTTCTGTGATCCTGATATAATAATTTCCAAGAAAAGTGGCGTGCGTTAGGAGACTATAGAACACTCTCATGGGTCACTCAATAATCTACAGAAGATGAATGAACAGCATACAACGCGAGAAGGTGTCTGTAGGCCCCTTCTCGCATTTCTGTGATCCTGATACAATAATTTCTGAAAAAATCGTTTGTGATAGTAGACTATAAAGCATTCTCCTGCGTCACACAATAACCACAGTAGAGGAATTGGATATTA